AGAATCCTTGCGGGTGCACATAAGCGAAGCGTGGATGTACCTACATTCGACGAACTGCTATACACATGCATCGGCCGGACCGCGAAGCACGGACTATCGACACGTGAGGGTCGGAAATATTTTTCCATGATTCAAGGATAAATGCGCGGCGCAATCTGATGAGCTAAATATGTATGTAGAATTTTCCCGGCCAGAGGCGAATACATATAGCAACGTCAAAGGATTGAGGTATGTCCCTACCATCTACAATTTTTTTGCCACTAAAATTATTTTTTCAAGAATTATCAGGATCTTCTAACACGTTCATAAACGAATTTCGAGCGTCTTTTATTTTTTGTTTTCTTTTCTCAAGCCTTTCCGTCCTTGGCATAGTAGTAAGTTTGTGGCGGACCGACAGACCAACAGACAGATACACAGACAGACCGACGGAAATGAGTGACTTGGCTTTTCGTTATGTTTGTATAACATCGAAAAAGCAATGTCTAGTTTCCGAAATGTTTGGCAATAGCATTACTTCCTCGCCAGCGGCGCAGGAGTCAATAACAAAATAGTTTGTCATCAGATGTCATTTTTACTTCAAAAAGGCCGAAACGTCGTCAGTAAACAGTATTTCAAGCATACGTGGTTCCATTTTGCAGCCAGACAAGCATGTAAAGTTTTCTGTATGAAAGCTACATGATAAGTTTCAGCTGTTATACTAACCAATTTATTATCATATTCAACCTGTACATTAATCAATGACCAAACATGACAATTTTATATGTACTGCGACTGCGACTCATTGCTAGTGCCGTCTACTCTTGAGTACAAAAAGGCGTGAAGTGGGTGATAAGAATTAAAATCAAATATAAATGTACAATTATAATCCCTTTACTAATTATATTCTTAAATTTGAATATAAGGGACCCCATTTTGTGGGATAATCTTCTGCTGGCTTGAATGGTCAGCGTTATTTAAATGAGTGTAAACAGTGGAATAGGAAAAGCAGCCAAAGACGCTTCTTTATCTTTCATTAATATGCGGCTAATTTTTGTGGAAGTAACGGTTTGGGAGTTTCGGAAAAAGCTGCCTGATCTCCCTTCTTGGATGTGCAAAGAGACAGTCGCAGACTTTACTTACCCTCTCATTACAAAAGGCGTTTAAAAAAACTGTGACAAAGTTACTATTGCAAAAGAACACGAAACGATTCTATTCGTATTCTAAAATGTTCCATTACCGATAAACAGTGCTGCAAGTATCTGAGACATCTTTTTTTGAACGCTACATGAGCTGCACCAAAAAGTGTCAGTCATTTCCGTCGGTTTGTATGTCTAACTGTGGATATATCAGTTCGCTAATTCGTATCCCGTCTGCAGCTTGGAAAGTGCCGCACAGATTTTGATGGCATTTCAATGCGATGATGCTACTGACGACGAAAGCACTACACCATTCTTGAACGTCGATATACTAGCGACAGAGCTACGGGAAGAAATAAAAAAAATTACAATCGTTCAAACTTTTATTAATGTTTCAGGGGATACTGCACACTTTTGGAATGTTTTTTGAGATCTAATGTATATCTCAATTTTTTGGCGTTAATATATTAATGCGTTTCTAGTTCTGGCAATTCTACGCAATTATTAACGGTTTCACGTATATACAGGGTGTCCCGCGAGGTAAGGGACAACATTTTTCTGCGTGCTCCTCTGGTCAATTCGAGTCGAAAAAGTCGTATGAACATGGGTTCACAAATGCTTCCTTATCAAGATATGATTTTTAGTGGGTAAAAACCACAATATTGTTGGAAAATTGCTTTCATTTAACAAAAAATGTAATACTGTTCATATTAAAACAACTGTTTACAATAACTAAAGACCACATTCACGTTGTACTGCCCGATTAATACGCTGGTGTTTGTTTATTTGTTGACGGAGTAGTTGTGTCGGTTTGATTGTACTTTGCAAAAATTACTGTCATGTTTGTTTTTACAAGTAAGGAATACTGTGACATGATGGTTGACTACTGATATTGCAACGGAAATGGCAGAGCGTCAGTGAATGAATATCGCCGCCAGTATCCAAATCGAAGAATACCTGACAGAAGGGTATTTGAAAGAGTTTTGGCACTTGTGAAAGCAACAGGATCGGTTCCAAATGCTACTGTAACACGTACATCAGAAGCCGCCCATGACTTAATACTGGATAGTGTTGAACGTCATCATTAACCAGCGCCCGCAGAATATCACGTCGCACCGGTGTTAGCAGAATAACTGTGTATAGAACGATGCATAACTTTGGTTTGTACCCATTTCATCTGCAACCGGTCCAAGCTCTGCTGCTCACTGATCCAGACCCTCGTATGCAGTCTTGTAACTGGCTCCTCGCAAATCGTAATCTTGTTATAAAGATTTTGTTCACCGACAAATCTACTTTTACTCGAGACGGCGTCAATAATTTGAGGAATTCCCATTCTTGGCAGCTTGAAAATCCCCGCGCAACTATCGAACGGAACTTCCAACACAGTTTTTCTGTTACTGTCTGGTACGGTTTGTTAGGGGATTACTTAGTTGGTCCTTTTGTGTTTGACGGTCCGTTGACATATGAAGTTTATCTTTAATTTTTACGAGAAGAACTGCCTGTATGGTTAGAGGATATTGCGCTGCAGAGAAGACAACAGATGTGGTTACAGCATGACGGTGCTCCGCCCCACAGTGGTAGAAATGTAACTAAGTATTTAAATAACACTTTTCCTGGGCGTTGGATTGGACGAGGGGTCGTAGTTTCTGTCCCCGCTAGCCCGATTTAAATCCCTTGGATTATTACTGGTGGGGACATATGAAGTCTTTAGTGTATGCAGAGAAATCGCATACCAGAGCTAAACTGCTCCGTAAAATTACTGATGTCGCTGAGGATATAAGAAGTAATCGTCTTGTTATTGGGAAAGCCACCAGTCACATTACTAAACGGGCTAGACTATGTTTACAGTGTGAAGGTGGACAATTTGAATAACTGTTGTGAATGGTTAATTTCATTGTACCTAGTAATTTTGTGTTAAATAAAAGTAATTTTCCAACAATATTGTGGTTTTCTCACCATTAGCACCCTAAAAATAAAAAAACCATTATCTCGATAAGGAAGCATCTGCGGACCCATGTTCATAGTAGTTTTTCCACTCGAATTGACCTGAGGAACACGTAGAAAAATTTTGTCTCTTACCTTGTGTGACACACTGTATTTCCCTGTATATTTTCCCCCAAAGCATATGATGATGATAGAAATACTTGTGTAGGTAGGCAGATGATTGGTACCTTAACCGCAATGATGTCATAAGGGTGGGTACTGAGATCTAACTTTCTCGGTCTATTTGGCGGAATTCATTTATTTTATACAATGACTGTAAAAGCTTTCTTTAGTTAGACAAAGAAATTAATGTAACACTACCTATTGGCCTATTGGCTATAATAATTTACACAGGGTGATTCACAAATCGTGATCGAAAATGAAACATCATACACAAAACCGCATTTTACGGGGGTCTTCTATGTAACATTTTTACCCCGAGGGAATCATTAAAAAGATATTGAACTTTAAAAATAAAAAATAATTATTTTTAATATCTTCAAAACAGTAAAATTTGGTATGTGAATATACCTAAGTATTGTCGACATTCTTTACTTAAAATTAATATGCACCTGCGGCAAGGATACAGGGGATTAGTGGTATCATTTTTATAAAACAGATAGTACGTCACTGTTTCTTTTCCGAATTTTTCGAATTTTACCTTTAATTTCCTACAAATAATTACTCTTGTGTTTTTTCCTAGATTGCATTGTTTTCATAAAAATATAAATAAAACAAATTCGATAATCAAAGCTTTATTTCAATAAATGGTGAAGAAGAAAACCATTCTGACGGATACAAGTGCGGCAACCTTTTAATAAAAAAAGTATCTCCGCAAAATTTATTGTGGCTTGAATTTGATGAAACGCATTATCTATTGTTTCTTGTAACTGATCAACAGTATTCATTTGTTCAGCATACACTAGTTGTTTGAAGGCGACTCACAAAAAGAAATCCAGGATGTTCAAATCAGGAGACCTCGCAGGCCAATGTACGGGTCCGCTTCTGCCAATCCATAGTTGTCTAAAATGATTATTTAACCATGCGGTTATGTTACGACGAACATGCGGTGGGCCACCGTCGTGCTGATACGACATTCGCACTCTCGTTGCTAACGGAACATCAACTAACACATTTTCTATGTAAATCTCTAGAAAAACTAAGTGCGAGTTTGCATTTAAACGTTGGGGCAACACGGGCCATTGAAAATGCCTCACCAGACATTTCTCGAAAATGTGTGTTGAAACGAGTAGATTCTTAGAGAACGGGGAGTTTCTAACCTCCAAATGTGCTCATTATGAAAATTAAAGGTTCCACTGCTCGTAAAAACCGATTCATCTGACCACAAAACCAAATCAATGAAATCTGCATTTTGATTATGCATTTGCAGTAACCACTCGCAAGAATTTCGCTGCTGGTCTGCAGACATTACGGATTTTGCCGATGATAAGGATGTATAAATTCCCAATTTAAAATTCTCCACGCAAGACTTTGGGAACGTGGCAACTGGGCTGCAATCTGCCTAGTACTTGTACTAGGAGCATCTCACGCCAAATTAATCACTTCCGTATAGCACATAACTTTTACAAACTGAAGGTAAGATTCGAAAAATTGCGTGTTTTGAAAAAAAAATAGCGGCGTACCATTTTTATTTGGAAAAATAATGCCACTAATCCCCTGTATCTCCGCCACTGGTGCACTTTAATTTTAAGTAAAGACTTTTGAATGTGAACAACACTCTCTCAAGTCCACATACCAAGTTTTAGTTCATTTTAGCTAACGGTTTAAAAAAAAATTATTTTAAGACTTCAACACCCCGTATCTTTTTAATGAAATGAAACACCCTGTATAATGTGCCTGTAACTCAAATCACTTGGTTACTATAATAATTACGCCTACTAAGCACGGTATGGGGCTTAACTTCATCAACTGAACAATAGCTTGTTTGTTATACAAATTATTTGCTTTTCGTAATATCAGAACGCTGACATGTTTAGCTAATCACTATGATAAGTAGATCATGGAAGGTGAAACGAAAAATATTGAAAGTGATGTTGCAAGGAAAAACGAAGATAATTCAGAAAATACACAAAATGGACAGCCTAACAGTAGCAACTTTAACAAAGACGGTAAGTTTTTATGCTCAAGGCAACTACTCGTATGTTATGCACCTTTGTCTAGCTCTAGCTCAATAGCTGGATTGTAAAGCGTAGACATTCAAGATGTCTACGTACAGTAGAATCACTCTGCAGTCATGCGGTCAGACTATTTTTCTTTACGTCATTCGCCACGAGCAACGCAGCGTTACGTTTGATGAATAATAACGTGCGGCGTTTCAGTCAGTTGCCAATCAGATGCCAGATGTTTTATTTATTACAAAACAAAACAAGGTCATTACGTCTTACTGACAGAACCGTATCGTCAGTCGTTCCTACAATTGTAGGACGCCTTTATGGCCTCCTTGATTTTCAAAGTCTTCTACCATTCCGTGTCAGCGCTCTATTTTGAGGTCAAGTTACAAATCTATTTGCATCAAATTGTTCATGCTTTTGATTTATATCATCTGTTATATAGCATGAAATTTCCTACAATTCAAGAAGAAAACATGCCTGATAATATGAGAGTGCTGATGCTGACACGGAACCGTAGAAATCTAGAAATATACCAGCCTTTCTGAAGGAAAGGGAGGACTACGAAAATCAACGGGGCCAGAAAGGCGTCCTACAAATGTAGGAAAGACTGACGATACAGCCCTTGGTCTTGCAAGTTGTGCAAATGTAGAGGTATATAATTGGTCTGTAACAAACAGAATGAAGCGTCCACAGATTCGTTGTCCTTGGTCAATCACGCCTAATTTGCGTTCGTGTTCGAACATGATTTTCATGATCATTGGCCTCCATTGTCTAGCCGAATCGAACGAGATTTGTTTTAATTTGTGTTTATTGTACGACGTTTCGATCAACGTGGTTTGATTTGACCAGTCAATGGAGTGTTTCTCTTTCTAACTCTCATGCATATAAAATACGGACCTAACCCATGCTGGTCGACTCTATTGACGTGTTTGGTGATTATTTCGTGTATCGTTTAATTATTCATGATAATATTCGTGTGCATGTCTAGTAATTGGCAAATACTTCTTTTGGGGTCATATGGAAATAAAACATATTCATTTAATTATTCAAGAACACTTACGGACCTTGATAAACGTCTGGTTTCTGGAGCAGTTAGCGGCACCGCTTAAAAAAACTCCAGCTTGTAACATTCTTTCTACTTGAACTAAACTTTTTTCACCTTTCGAAGGCCACAGATGATTAGATTTAATTCCGCACAGGCTCTATTGATAGAATTGATTCGAAAATTTATTCTCTGCTACTTAAGACGATAATAATTTTTCAATGTTTTTTTTTTAGAATTATCTTTGAGTAATATTAATGAATGTCTCTAAAACTGCGACTATTTACGTAGACCTTACTAGTTTTATGCTTAGACGTGATATAGGTAAAAGATTGTATTGGACTAGAAATGTCCATACAATATCAAGCCAAGTTATTTTCGTCACTCATCTCCCGACGCAGAAACTGACGAGCCTTGCACTATCCTGAATTTTAGAATTGTTAGAGAAATTTTGTTCTACGTTTTAAAGTGATCAGAATCTTGAAACGATAAACAATGTTTTTTGAAATGATGAATATCTCGCCACTTATAGGGAAGGAACGGCAATGCGTAAAAACGGGATCTTGGATTATCAAAACATAGCGAGCAGTGTTATTTTAAATCATGAAAGTACTGGTTTTGAGTCACGTATGCTACCTGTAGATAGCTAAATAAAACTAAAACTAATTTCAGGTCAGTGTCTCATAGATGGCGCTGCAGACTATATGTTCATAAGCAGATGACGCCACGATATATAATTTCATAAGGCTCCATTGTCTCGCCGCTAATTCAAACGACATATGTTTCAATTACTTTTTATTGTACGACATTCCGAGCACCACAGTGTCCTTTTACAAGTACAATGACAATTAATGTCAATATCTTCTGTTTATATGTCTTTCAGGTGTTAGTTGATCTATTTTTTCTTTACTGCATCACTACACAGTGTGTTGCGACAATAGACTCAACGGTTCTGTACTATGTCGAGATCGCGTGATGCCAACTTTAAGATGACACCGCGTAAAAAAAGAAAAGCCTAGGGTCGCCTGGGTTAGACATTTCAGCTCTCAAAGCATGTCCAAACAAGCATGAATTTTTTCGAACCTACAAGATACGCAACCCTCACCCATCGTCCCAAGAACAGTGAACGCTCTCCGAGAACGCAAAACTCCACTAAGGACCATTGTCGCCATATACAGATTGACTGTTATGCAGTCTTCGACCACTAATGTTGCATATACATTGTTCCTGGATCTGAAATGCGATAAACAGTGCTTCGATGATTAAGGGGAACGATGTTGTTCGTCCTGTATGTAGTATGAGACACAGCAATTGCTCTCGGGATGGTTACGTAAAACATCTGAGCGCTGGAGATCCAATACCAAACCTGGGAGTAAGAAAACTATTGCCCATCAGTTGGTTATGGGAGTATCATTGAAATCTTTCCTCAAGGATACTCAACCAAATTGGGTAATAGTGCACAGAGGAACTAGAAAGACAATAAGTTGTTGTTTAATTTTATATAAGCTGATTTCTTTAAATTTCTGTAATTACGATCCCGCCATTATACTGGACCGCTTGAAGATAACAGATAACAAAAAATCACTGGAAACAGATCAACAGTAAATATTGTCATTAATTGGCATTGCACCTAAAGAAAGCTACCGTGGTGGCCGCAATGTCCTACAATAAACATTAATTGGAATATAAGTGGTTGCAAATGGAGTCCTGCCATCATGAAGACCACGGGATGAGTTTCAGATATTAGGTTAATCTCGTCTCATCTCGGATAATTTTTTGGACATCGGTAGATATCTGGTTAACTTCAGGTAGGATACGTAAGTCGATGCCAAGGGTTATGCTGAAAATCAACAAAGCGTCTCTTCTAGAACACAATGCCGCAACATTCGAAGACGCGATCTCTGCAACCGGGCTAGGAAAATACAATCTACTCTTAACCTTGGCGGTCGTATTTCCTACAATTTCGCAAATGTTAGAGACATCCAGTATGTCATACGTGTTGCCTATTGCACAATGTGACCTCAATATAAACTTGGAAGATATTGGGATGATAATGAGTATGACGTATATAGGTAAGTAAAATGTACGTAGATAGATGGAAATCATTAAATCACCATCTACTTAGGCACAATGTTTCGAGTTTTTCAAATGACCACATCCACTTGTTTGCTTTCCGTTTCGTTTGTCTCCACGACTAAACCTAAGCTCTATACCGCACAGATGAGTTGCGAATGAGCACGAAACAGCGCTGTCTGCGGCTGGTTACAGTTACAGGAGACAGAAAGCAAGCACATCCTTTCAGAAATAATTCGATGCTAAATGCTACAATTAGCAGCTTGGCGCTGCCGGGTTGCTACGTTCAAATCGTGTCAATGAACAATCATTCCATAGAACTACGTCAAGTAGATTGACCTTGCCACCACGTCCACCCGGACTTGCTCGGCTACGCGCTGCCAGGGTACATTCGCTCATTTCTCGCGAGCCGCGATACAACCGCTTAGCTACAGCTTGTCTGAGTGTATCTGCTCTGCCATAGGTTTGTAACCAGAAAACAAATTCGTCTGCAGCTCAGACCGCCACCAGTAACAACAAAGAAGGATTTCAATTAGTATGTGTTTTTATTTCACTCAAAAAGCTCAGACGCTTCTAAAACTATTCCACGGATCGGGTTTCAAAATAAATTGCTCACAACAAAAGGGTATCGAAACCACATAAGACAACAACATCAGACATTGACATCGGTGAGTTTGTGTCGTGTAGTTCAACTATGTATTTCAGGTATTGATACGTAAATACTTCTTGGTATATGAGTGTGACCAGGTGTCGAGTGTAGTTTTATCTCGTCTAACCAATTGCCCCTCCTGATAAAATGTGTATCAATATTGAGGGTTTTATTCTAAGTATTTATTGTTAGAATATGGATTCAACACACGCCTTCTGAAAACTACATTCGTTTGATTTACTGAACGTCGCTTCGTAACATGTTGGTAGAGTTATCACTCCTTTGCGATTCTCAATTAAAAGCTCCATTTCTCTATATCTGAAGGAAAGTTGTGACTCTCAACACATAATCCTTACAAGCCCAGCTTAGAAAACGTCTGAGGATGCGGTCATTTTGAAAGGTTTTGCAGACATTCCTGATTCTGATGTATTTAAATATTTCTCTGAAATGATTTGTTTGGTTCTTTTTAGGAATGGTTACAAGCGGCTTCTTCTGGGGATATTTGAGTGACTCATATGGAAGGAAGATGGTTTTAGTCTTTGGGCTCATTTTGAATGGTATATTTGGCGTCATGGGTGCTTTCTCCACAAGTTCAACCATTCTAATGATCTCAAAAGTATGCGGAGGGCTAGTGTAAATACTTACTTAATAGAATTCTCGCTCTAGTAATAGAGAAGTTGCCATACACATTAGATTATAGTTATTTTCATACAAGTGTCATTTTTAAGTATGAACCGATGCCGAACCCGCTCATCCTGTCACGGGACATCCGTTCAACCTCGGACACTCTTGGCCAGACTTTCATCTTTTTCTAAAACTCGAGTAATTTGCTGGTGTAAAGATGATAAAAAGTTGAAAAAAGGCGTTTCTGTTTGACGATAGTATCCAGAAGCTGGTGCCATGACCTCAAAAATATTTAAATGTTTGTGGTGACTGTATTGAAAAATGAAAAAATCTTCTATTATAAAACGGTTCTTGTTTGAAAAAAAATTACTCTCGTATATGTATACTATAACATTTACTAAACTTTTGCTATTTGTAGGATTAAAAGGGGCAAAAATAAGTAGACCCTGAATAAAATAATAACCAAGTATCAAAATGAAGCGCATAGGTTGAGGGAGTCATTGACTAACGTACTCTATCTGAAGATAGCCACCACATAGGGTGTTATTTATTGGTAGGCCGTAATTACAAGGGAGCGTTCTTGAAGCAAGTTTGAATGTAAGAGTTCATGTAATGTGTCTTAAAAAGTCTTGTCCCCAAGATAAAGTGTCAAATTTTTATTTAAAAATTGTTTTTTATTAACATCACAAAGATCCTTGTGCCGACCTTGTTTAATTTTGACTATATAGTTCATTGCAATACGTCACTAATTCTCTAGTTATGAATTCTAGCGATGTCTCAGATGGCAGCCTTTGAAATAGTGTTGACAAATCACGTACGCCACTGGCATTTTAAAAAATATATGTTCTTATCAGATTAAGCAGCTAATGATAGAGGTTTTTCGTCTTTTGTGACGACTTCATATCCCATTCCGTTTTCTAGGAAAAAATAAATACAACACCATTACATGCCGAAGAGAAGCATAGCGTATAGGTGGTAGGTGGCCAATTTTTGTGAATATTTTGTCAAATTCTTGTTACCGACCGTTCCTTACGCTTTATTAAATGGCTCATAAATTAATATTTTGTATCCATCAAATCAAACCGATTTGAATTTATCAATTTCTGGAGAATATTTTGTTTTCTCTACGAAAACAAAGTGAGATAAGAAAGATACCAACAGATGAAATAGGTTTACATTTATCTGCTTGATTTGAAAAAAAAATATAATTGCCTACAAAATCGCCACTGGAATTCATAATTATCCATTAGTTAGTGTTAACTCATCTCCCTGTTGTATCGAATAACAAACACTCCCAAAACTCAACGCAATCAGCACAAGCATATTTGAGATAATATAAAAAGACAACAAAAATTTAAGCTTTCTTTAGGACACATGCATATATGAACATTTCTACCTAAAGTTGGTTGAGAAATGTAATCATGTAATTACGGGCTATCATTAAGTAGTAGCATGTATACTGTAGTTCGACGCCCAGAAGGAGCTGAAGGATCCTAGGCCATCTATGAGACGTGGTAAAATGCATTTAGGAATCTACTTTGAAAAGCGAGTGTTGAGTTCTGCTGCTGCCTCAATGGCAGCACTAGCAACGCTATGATCTCCCTTTTTGACCTCTTTAATGCCCAGCTTAGCTAGGCATGTATCAAAATATTCCACCTGAAGATACTCAATTAAAATAGGTATTGGAGAGGCTCCACAAAGGCATTAAAGATCTGTGACTCAATAACAGAAACAGATATTCGAACTATTTCCTAAGCAGATTTCTTGGTGCATTTTTGCATGCTGCTACTGTCTCACAAATGGCGCTAGGACCTTTCAGATCTCTTTTTCGGTAGCGGAACAGCGTGCGGAAGGTACTCACATTCAACACGCATCTGCGTAAAGAAAGTAGCACTGTTATGCGTGCGAAAAAGTGCTACTTTCTGCACGCAGATGCGTGTTGACGGTGAGTACTTTCTGCAGCTGGTAGAAAGAAATTACGTCTCTCCGTCTCTCCGACGTGAATCTGTCAGACGGGACAGATATTCACACTTATATATACAGATATATGATCTGAAAAGAACCTTCTCAGAAGCGAAAGAACCAGTTTTTGGGTCTAAAATGGTTTAAACAACCTTTCAGGCAATTTTGTGTTTAGCAACATGCAGATATATCAAAAGGTTTAATTCACAAAATTGAATAAGAATATTTTCCGGGCGGATGCGAAGATACCTCCCGGATTTTAATTAATAATTTTATTAAACAATTCGACAAAAACTCTTTTCTTTTTCTTAAGCTGTTTACTGAACAAACTCGGTGTTGTGGATGTGCTTATCCGACAAATCGTATACGGTGGTACCATGGTAGGTGATCACGAAATACCGTGGTGCAACTAGAAAGCGATTGGAGATACCTTACCAATCCGGCTTGTTTCGCTTGAACGCCGCCGGAAGGGGCATCAAGTAGCTTGGAAAAACAACGGAACAGGGGCGTGGATAAGATTGCCTCTGAGGGTCGATCCTGAAAGTTGGTTGACATCTGGTTCTATAGACCAGCTGGTCGACTCCACGAAATGTAGGAGATGCGAGTTCGGATCTCGCGGCGCCCATTTTTTCTGTTAAATTGTTCTTTGGTAAATAAACTCGCTCTTGCAGAATCAGTTGCGGATTTAGCAGGGGGCACGTTGGGCGCGCGCCCCCCTAGGCGTCTGATACTTGCTTTTGTAATCTAACACCATTGTGTTGCTTTCTGACACATAATGCCGACAGAGGCATACTAACTATAAGTTATAGCTATAGGAACTGAGCATTGCGATTCGGTATCCTTTGGTATTCCAAGCACTGTCCCTCTAGGACATCACTTACGTTTACAGCACAATTCTCACGATTTATACGTATGTACGAGTATTGTGAATTGTGAATACTAAATGCTCTTTGAACGAACCCTGTATATTGCTCAATAAACTAGTAGTGATGGCCGGGAAACAGGTGTTGAGGGATAAACAGTTAGAGATTCTCAAAAAACGACTTGACCATTATACTCCAATTTTGCTCATGTTTAGAATTTCGAAGTATGAATTCTGCGGATTCGAAGAATTTCAAGAGGTTGCGTAAAATTATCGTCGCATTACCAACAAGTGCCAAAACCTGCATTTTTCGGCCATAACATTTTTGCTATTAGTCGGATCTTTTCAAGTGTGGTCTGATTCTGTAGGTCTCATAAATACCTAAAAATGTTATTTGGAAGGTTTTTTCGTTCCTTTCAACACATTCGATTGAATCCCAAAAAAACACGTTTTCTCATTCGTTGTTGTCAAATAAAAGGTTTTCACACAAAATTGGTGTAACCATTTTATGCGTCATGTTTAACCCATTATCGGTCAAACCATTTGAACATAAAAGAAAAACTGTTTTATTCCAACATTTAATATCAAATCGTTCAAATAACAGCTCAGAACCTATACAACCAAACAAGATATAAGGGAAAGTAACTTTTGAAAATGTCACCATTTGGTTACACTGACCCAATAAGCAGAGCTAAAGTTTTAATTGACAAAAAATCAGTAATTTCGTTAGTTGTATTTATACTGGTTCTGTTTTGCTGGGTGCTATAAAGGCTTGTCTGGTCTACAATATTCCTAATAGCATCAATTGAGAAGTACTCCAAAAAATACTGAGGTGCACTGGAATTTTCTTCAATGCAGCAAATTTGATATTCCTCATGAAAATCTGCTCTTTCCTCTAGATCATCCTTAGTCCAGTTCCAGGAAGGTATTGACATGTTCTTCTGCGCTTTGCTTCTTGCTGGCTGGTCGTCGTTTCTACCTACATTTATGGTCTCGTCTAAATCGGTTTCCCCAATTTCCAGATCTGCAGTTTGTAAGGAATTAGCAGGTTCCTCGTCGCTCTCATAACTCACGATTCTAGCTTCTTCCACATCATCATCGGATGAAACCGACAAATCAGAAGCATTGGGATCAGGAAGAATTACAATATGACGTTTGCCATAAAAATTGCAAATCTTATAGTAAAATTCTGAAAAAAAAACATTTGTAACATAAATATGTATTAAGGAGTAGTTCATATGTTCACATTACGAAAAGGGCAACGTGACCATATGGATACGTCGTATTTTAAACATAAAAGTAACGAAAATTATGCTAAATACCCATAAACATCTTGGCTGTTTAGGCCTTAGGCCTTCGTGGTAGTTGGAGTATAAAAAAACTATTTTACTACAAACTATAAATGTCTATGTTCTACAAAAAAACTGCATGAACTTACTTGTTTTGCAAATAACCTCAAAATTATTCACCACACTAGTCTACTAACGCCAAACAGGTAGTGGTAGGCGGCCATAAGGAATTGTAAAAATGTTTTCTTTCGTCGTCAGATGACTCTGTAGTATATAAGCATTTGCAGAAACCATAAATAACTTGATGTACAGTCGAGGCCAAGCGAAACTATTAAAACAGATAAATAACTATGTTGGTATAAAGTGCAATGTAAACATATGGTTACAACAACCGATACAGGGTTAAAATACCCCCTTGAACAACTTGCCCCAATAAAACCGGGCTTTGCAATTATTTAGGGGAAATTAGTTAATTTGTTAGATGAACGCCTAAAACTGAGAAAACAACTATGCCGTAAATCTAAGTTCGACAACGAAAGTCTGAAGAATAACTGTAACATCCGTATTGAATTAAAAAAAATAATTGACTATACCTATTGATATTTTTATCACCTGCTGATATAATAGAGGTGCTTGATTGTGTGAGTATTACTTGATTTGTTTAACGGGTAGTTCAGAGTGTTAATCCTTAAGCTTAGTATATACTAGTAGACCCCGTTGCGCAACATATCTATAGGCAGTCTGGAGATGGTCTCAAGACACGATCTATAGATGGTCTATTCTTTATCTCTAAGACCACTACACTAGTTAGTTATACATGCCACGTAATTGTATTGTTCTCATATAATAAAACATAGTTATTATATCCATATTTTTTTCCAAGCTGGCATTGAACAGATAGGTACACAATGGATTTAAGGATCAATAATAGGATAAATTGTAAAAGTTCCACTAAGGTAGAAAAATTACCAGTACCAAATATCGTTCGCGCCCCGCACCCCTAGACGAAATCCTGAATCCGCCCTTGTTGCAGATGCACTCAACCGAATGATCGTATACATGATAATTTTACATTTTGCAGTTTAGGAGGACCTTTTTCTGCTGCTGTAGTCCACATGTCTGAGTTCTACCGCAAAGAATATCGAAGTTCAGCAAAATTGCTATGGGGAGTTATGGGAAGTGTTGGCAACTTGTTTTTACCATTGTTGGCTTGGCTGATCTTAGATTATCATTGGTCATTCAACGTAGGTGGCCATGGTGAGTACTGAGAAATTTTAAGCTCTTAGTGATATCGTTACAATGCTCAAAAGTGATCTAGAACTCAATAACTGGCCATGCATTTATTTGAAAATTGCGACACTACCAAAAAATTTATTTTGCAATGCTCAAAAATTATTAAAATATTACGAAATATACATATACAAAAATGGGGTTCGGAAACTGTCTGAAACTTTTTTATCTTTTGCGCCACCAATAGACCAATTTTTTAAAATTAAGCATTAATACTTGTTATAACACCACACCATAATACTTCACAAATTTCGTTAAAGGTGGAGCAGTCACGGGTGTTCATGTTTATGATATACAATGTATAATGATTCCTTCAAATCCTGAAAACAACTAAGACGTATCCTTTTTTCAGAATATCATACCTGGAACATATTTTTATTGATATGTGCTATGTTTCCGTTAGCTGGGGGTATTTGCTACATGTTCATGCCTGAAAGTCCAAAGTATCTAATGAATTCAGGGAATAACCAAAAAGCAATGAAGGTATTCCAGAAGGTATATACGATTAACACTGGAAGACCAAAAAGTACATATCCTGTAAGTACTGTGTGCATTCGCAGACCCGACAGATTTTTCAAAGTCAGATTAATTCTGGGCACATTTTGTAGAATTTGCGTAGTTGTGAGTGCATATCGCATACATATTTTCACTTATTCTATACAAAATACATATGTACTGGGTACAATATTTTACAATATCAGGAGTAAATACTAACCACGTTATTGTACGGGGTATCCCGCTATAAACAAAACAAAATTCAAGCTACTTCCGGAGAGTGACGAAAAAAGCTGAATGTTTTCAAAATCGTTTTAGTTTTAAAGGCCTACCTAGGAAATTCTATTGTTTTTTAAATAGCTGATGGTTGGCAATGTTTGTGTACGATATATTTTATATCTTTGGAATCAGAATTAAGAACTTTATTCATCTATACAAAAATCTAATGTGGTTTCCTTCAGAATAAGTAAAACTGATGCTAGAGGACAAGAGAAGAAACGTCGTAATGAAATTCAAGTTATACCATCTTGTAGATGGCAATGTCAGTGTGCTATTTATTTTGAAATATGACAATCAAGAAAAAATTGAAAAACGATTTTGGCAAAATTCGGGTTTTCCCGTCTCTCTCCCGAAGTGCTTTGAATATCAAAACTTTCGAGATGTCTTCAATCATGTACGAGGTTTTCCGAAAAGTACGTATAAAAGTGCAATAGGTAATAACTTTATTTTACAATTGTTTAGGTATTTCAATATGATATCCACTGTTGACACCATCACTGAATGTCTTCAATTGGGAGGCTCTTAATTTGCCTTGTCGTTTCTGCCTTGATGGCTTCCGCAGTTCGTGGACGATTGTTTTGGGGATTGACCTATCATTCTAACTGTCCATCGACGGTCTTTGAGAACACAGCCTCCAATTCGTTCAGCATTTCCCTCAGAGCTCGATGTGGAGGGGCGTCCTGAACGTTAGTCATCTCTCACATCTTCTCGGTCTTCCAGAAATCTTTTCAACCACTTACTGATGGTTGGTTCCTTCAGGGACTTGTCTAAGCACTCAAAAATCTCACGACCATTCTTGACTAGCTTTGCAAGAAACTTGACGTTGATGCGCTGTTCTTCGATGAGAGAGAGCTCCATGCCGACAGCAGGTAAAGAAGGGTTACTTTCAACAAGCAGACGTAAATCCTACTTACTTGCAGAGCGCTCCGACTTGAACTGAGCATAGAGGGAATTGGATAGAGAAAGGAACCACTCAGCCACCCCACCACAATGCCTTGACACGATGCCCCGAATTTTGTATACGTATTTTCCGGACAAACATCGTACGTTTCCGATCCTATGCCAGATTGCATAGGCGGCTATATACAAATTGGTTTGAACTGAGATACAAAGAAATAAATTACGCACAAAATTTAGGCTTTTGTCAGAACTATTGAAAATTATATGATATGGAGTCAGAAAAGAAGCAACTATTCTCAGATTATATAACGTTCGATAGCACTTTACTGAGGCACATGATGTTGCGCCTAAAATATACAGGGTGTCCGCAAAGTTGGGGTATTCCTTTTCAGAAACAACTACCCTTGGAATAACAAAGGTCATGTGTAGTGAAACGAGGGCGACCAAGTAAAAAAAAATAAAGGAGAAAGTACTCACTCTCCAGTTGACGAGAAGGGCTAAGACGTCTCTGCCTGCAGTGATACCGCTCCAACAGAAAATGAAATCAGCTGATGCGCTACCGAGCAGACGTAGGCGAACAAGGAAGGCAAAATGTTGCGTAAAAAATCTAGGTATTGCTTCCCGTCCAATCGATTTGGGAGAATAAATGGTCCAATGAGCATACCGTTCACCATGCCAGCCCAAACATTCACCGAAAATGTTTGTTGAAAATGTGCCCGACGGATAGCGTGCGGATTTTCTACTGACCAAACATGAGTGTTGCGAAAGTTCATCCCATTACGCGTGAACGTAGATTCGTCTGTCACCAATATGCACTTCAAAAAGTCCGGATTATTGTCATGTTGATGCAACAGCCACTCACAAAACCGCACTCTTGCTGGAAAATCGTCAGGTTGAAGGGCTTGTACACGTTGGACGTGAAACGGATACAGCCCCTCTCGTCTACGCGATTACCTCTACACGCGTGACCGTAACCATCGGTTGAAGGTTGCATACTGACCTGATACACTGACCCCGACCCAGTTCTGTCGTCGTGTTGAGCTAGTGTCCTAGTACCATTCGGGGATGTCGCGGCTACAGGACGGTATTCAGATATTTTTGATGTTGCAGAGCCCCTTATCTCGGTTCCCTTGAGGCATTGGTGTATATGGTACTAAGAAAAATTGCTTACGTTTTCAAGATCTACACGTCGTGTAAAGGAAAGCCCCAACTTTGCGGACACCCTGTATATTAATCCTTGCAACTTTTGTAAATTTTTTTTGAATGCTCATATAAAGAAGCTTGAGCGGGTCCATTTATAGCGGGACAACCTGTACATGGATATCTTTCAGCACCAATGTTTGGCACGGGAAACAAACTCGACTGACGATAGACCGATTAAGCGATCTGCACTTCAGACGATGGTCGATGGTATCAAACAACTAAAGCTTTTCATGCACAAACCATATACGTCAAGGGCTATACTGGGTTGTACTGCTGCATTGACAATGTCATCAAGGTAAAGGCAAACTTATACCATCTATAATCTATGATATATCATATTTACCATATTTCGTGTATTTTTCCGTACGCTTGCCAGAGGGTTTCATTTTTCCGATTTCAGCATTTCTTTGTCCTTTGAATATTAGTGGGAAAAAGGATATGCACACCAAGTTTAAAAATTCATTAAGTTAAGAGAGAAATTTTCAGTGTTTGTGATAACTGTTTGGAAAACTAGTAAGCACAACCCAAAAAAATAGCTCTAAATGCTAGGAGATTCTTTGAATGTGCTGATTTTATATGATGCACCATCTCTTGTTAAATTTGTTGCTTGTTTGTATTCGATTCATAAAGATTTTCAATGGAGCTATTCTTCTGATATAATACAGGATGACGTGTCTGGATCCCACGCTTTATGTGCGGCCATAAAGTTGCTGATATCCAAGCCTGGAGGGGCAAATCAATTTTAAAGATGAGAGCGGCAATAGAAATTCATTTTCGAAATGTTACAAGCCGTCTATGCCTTGACTGGCTTTGACTTCTTTCAGATGAAAAAGGGCACCATTTAATAAATCGTCGTATTGATGGGCCCAAAGGTGCGTCAAAAGTTATTCAGTATACTGAAAGAAATATTCCATTAAAGCACCTTGTAGAAAGATATTGTGAGGGATCTTACAAATCCAAGTTGATATCTACATGTTAATCCTGGAATGGATCTGGTACGGGTTGTTCTAGAATTCAAAAAAGTTCAATTAATATAACATTTCGCTTCAAAAGAGTGCGAAAAAGTTCTAGTTGTTTACTTGTCATTAATTATGACAACAAAGGCAATTCAAGATCAAGTTGGTTTTGAAGATAAAAGGGACAGAAAACGCGCAATAACGCGGTATTGTATTGTAATTTATTGTATTATTATTTTGGGTCAACTTTTTTGTAAGATAACTAGCTTTGATCCTATAGAGAGCATATCAAAATAACACCAAGTCTCATAGAGTTTTGGCGACAGATTTACAGCTACAGTATTGCCCATTAATTATTGGATAATCATCACTTTATTGGGTTTTTAAAACGTGAGCTAGTTTTTGGATAAATGAGTAATGCAAATGCAGCACTTACAGTAAAAGATTGCCTAACAGTCTACATCTATGGCTAACACAAACTTATTCTGTCCCCTGGAAGGCAAATATGATTCAATGAAAAAGGCTGCCTAGATTGCTTAACCATTAAGTAAACTAATCCATTCAACAACTGTGGTCCCATTTATTGGCCAGCGAAAGGAAGATGGTTGAGCTACAGCGACTTACAGCAACTTTCACATTTGTACGCTTTTTATTTTACCACCAAAATAAATATGGCCTTGACTTGACCTTGTAAGCGTCATTACCAAAGACAAGGAAGCAACCATGACACTTCTGTGCCCTTGAAAAGCGGACTGTCATATTGAGCAAATTAGTAATATAGCTTCCGTTCATCCAACCACAGTCGTTCAACCATGGGCAGCTGTTTTGTGCTTCTTGGCAACTCATTAGCATGGACTAGACTTGGTCTCAGGTTACACATCGGGCAAAAGCTGAGCAACCATCATCCATCCAGGATATAGGGGAGACAGCAAAGTTTGCCTTTTAAGGATCATGAATCCTAACTACCTAATTTAATATATCTTTTAGTATACTGATTCTCCGAGTTTTTGTCCTGAGAGCTGCAATTCGCACAATCACCATTTCTGCGAATTGGTCAAACTCCACCGCTCTATTTCTCAGAAAGTAAACCTGCTCTGGTCGCATGAACAGTTTTGTTGAGAAAGGCAAGAAATATATCATACTAAATTTTTAGACAAATCGTCTGAGACTTATTTTTCTTATGTTTCGTGCGGGGCTCTTTTGAAAAACGGACGCTTCATGAATAATTCAACCGCAGCGCTCATTTTGCACCACCCTATACTTTATAATATTTTCAGCTTCAATACCATGAGGATCTGGCTACCTCAGATCTTCAAAGCAATCAACGATTATCAGTTGACCCACAATGGTACCAGTACAGATATATGTATAATGTTGAAGTCTTGGCATGAAGAAGCCGATAATCCCGAACAAGTTTGCATGGTAAGGTTTTTGTCGCTTGACTCACCGACCCTCATCCACTCATGGCAATTGTTTCGAAATTATGTAAAGAAATGTAGGAAACATTTCAAAACTAGAAGCAAATGTTAGAAAAGTGTCAGATTCAGCCATTGAGACAGCTTAAAGGTACACCATTTTAGGCAAGAGAAAGCTTTAGTAGCCTCTTGACCAAAACACCCGACAGCACTATGTCGGGCTTTTTTTTCCCAAAGTGTGAGATTCTCCAGAATGCGACATATTCAATAAACTCCCCAGCTGCTCGCTACATATCCTACTATGCTAACGCTTACCTTATTTGTGTTTTGCATCATAACGTTGTATATATATATATATATATATATATAGAGAGAGCGAGAAAATTATCATGCGGAGAAAGGTATATAACAAAAATAGGAAAATAATGGGCAAAATCCGCAAAAAGTGGATTCGAGCAGAAAATAGGATAGGTAACCCGAGCGATACGTATCTCTGCTGGTTAGCTTCATCAGGCCCGAAATGAATGCACATATGCAGCTACAAAAGTAGATGCACATGCCCACACATCCGGATACGCGTGTAACCTGAGGAAACGAAGATGGAGAGGAGAAAAAGACACACGAAGTCCACAACAAGAGCCAATCTACACATTGTAGTATAAAATGGCTGGAAGACCTCGAATTTTCAAGGCGACAAATAACCACAACCAAGCGGCCGGTTATAGCCACTTGCTGTGGCACTTCAATCCCAAAGGTTACACCCGTATCCGGATGTGTGGGTATGTGTATCTACTTTTGTAGTTGCATATATGCATTCATTTCTGGCCTGATGAAGCCAACCAGCAGAAATACGTATCGCTCGGGTTACCTATTCTATTTTCTGCTCGAACCCACTTTTTGCGGATTTTGCCCATTATTTTCCTATTTTTTTATATATATAAGTATATGTGCAAGCCGGAAAGTAGAAATCTCTTGCTGGTAGCCTGGTCTACCTTGCAATCATGTAGCTTGCCCAGCATCATCAATAAAGAAGGTCACAAGCCACAATGGTAAATTTGTTTGGTGGAGTAGGGTATAAATGAGTCATCACAAATCTACATATTTCTGGAACGCATTTATCTTACTTGCTCTATGATAGTCGTGAATACGGATCATGATGTATTTTAATAAATTGGTCATTTGAAATCATTATAGTTTTCCTACGTGATGAAAGCATAAACTACACATGTATTTAAATGTCCAATTTCTAGTCTGTCCAGCACAATCTGTTTTCTATATTATTGAAATATCCGTTGTTTTTACCAACAACCAATTTCTGTTTGAAATGCATTTTGGAATTTAAGTGACTCATAGTATTTTTTGGGCATACAAATTGGGATGTTGTGGTTGTTCAGAAATTATTCCGACATATATCAGCTAATTTTTAAAAAGATCAACTTAGGACATATTTATATACCTACACCATGGGTGCTTACAGCTGAAAATGTGTTTTTTGTTATCCAAATGTGGCTTAGGTGCCTTACTGCCACAAGCCCTTCAATTGTCGAGTGTCAATTCTAGTTATCTATGTCAAGTCAATCGATCTACACTCTCATATATATGAACAGGAGTAATGAAGACAAGTCAAAGAGAAAACCATTTATAGACTTCGCTTTATTCCAGATTGCAAAGTGCAAAAAAAATGCGATTGTTGGAAACATGGAAGTCAATATAAATGATATATGAATCAACAAAAACGCCGACAATAAGGAACGTCAGCGTTTATCGAATCAAATTACATAGCGTTTCTTCCAAACGTCTACAATTCGGGGCTTACAAAAAACGGCGTCAAGTAGTTTGACTGTGCACTTTCTACGCAACAGCATCATCTGTTCATAAAGAATTAATTTTAGAGCAATTTAAGTCCACTGAGAGAAAAGTCAGTTACGAACATATGCAACAGAAAAATTAAACGGAATAAGTCAGTCAAACAGGCCCATATAATTAGTCCATAGATATTCTATCCCTGTCGTACCAATAGCTACTGTCTATCTGCCAACATTATCACTTTCCACATCTGCGCGGTATCGCTGCAGCTCTGTTATCGTTCGTTTCGTGTGTGATCCGTTTGTATGTTTTATGCAAACATTTCACTATAATTGTAAGCTTCAAAAGCAAATTAACGAAAATCTATGATGCGTAAAATATACCTAGCTAATACAACTTCCCAACCTCCGCATTATAATCCCAGCAAAATAAAAATTCTGAAAATAATCACAACCCTCTAAAACCTTACAAAAACGAAGTTTGGCCAAATTTTATTTTTTTTCGTCTTTGGTGTTTTTTCTCCGCCGTCACTGGACCGGTTCTAGAAAAGAACAAAGCTTCATCGTTGGCATAGTAACAACCTTGTGTGAAAGCTTCTCAAAAGCTGAGCTGTATTTCTCAACTTATAGACGGGCCAACTATTAGACAGAGGAAAGGCAAAAAGACCGACAGACAGACAGACCAACCTACTGACAGACAGACAGACCGACGGGAATGAGTGACATGGTTTTTAGTGAAGTAAAGGGTGTTTTTTCAGAGGTATACAACTTTAAATTGCAATAAAACAACAATAATATGGCGAATGTTGTCTTCTAAATGGTCAAGCGTTTGTGGCTTATCCGCATAGACCGATGACTTTACCTAGCGCCAAGAAAATAGTCTAGCGGTGTTAAATCACAAGAGCTTGGAGGCCAATTCACAGGTCCAAAACGTGAACACCAAACGAGTCTTTCAATAAATCGATTGTAGCACGAGCTGTGTGACATGTTGCATCTTGTTGGAACCACAGCTCCTGGACATCATAATTGTTCAATTCAGGAATGAAAAAGTTAGTAATCATGGTTCTATACCGATCACCATTGACTGTAACGTTCTGGCCATCATCGTTTTTGAAGAAGTACGGACCAATGCTTCCACCAGCCCATAAAGCGCACCAAACAGACAGTTTTTCTGGATATAACGTTGTTTCGACATAGACTTGAGGATTAGCTTCACTCCAAATGCGGCGGTTTTGTTTGTTGACGTAGCCATACAACCAGAAGTGCGCTTCATCGCTAAACAAAATTCGCTTATGAAAATCGGGAACAACGGCATCTCGTTTTGGGCCCAATCAACGAATCTACGCCTTACTTGATGATCGTTTGGCTTCAATTCATGCACGAGTTGGATTTTGTAAGCACGCAGACCAAGATCCTTCCGCAAATTATTCCATAAAGGGGATGGACACAGATCCAATTTCTGTGCTCGATGGCGGATGGGCTAATTCGGGTCTTCCTGCTACGCTCTACAGTAGCAATAGCTGCTTCTGTACGCACCGTACGGCATCTCTCGGGATGCGAGTTATCAATTAGAGTAAACGTGGTGCGAAAACGTTCAATGGTTAATCGAATTAACTGTTCTGATGGACGATTTTGTCGACGATAAAATGGACGTAGTGCGCGATACGCATCCGCCCAGAACCATTATTTTCGAAATAAAACTGCACAATTTGCAAGCGTTGTTCACGCGTGAGTCTATTCGTGATGAATTGCCAAACCAAAATGAGAATAAATCACTTGACAGCTGTCAAATAGGTCGCCATCTTCATAAGTAATGCCAACTTAAAGTTCTATACCTCGAAAAAAAAACACCCGTTACATAACATTTAATACAGTATCTCATTTTCATAAATCTTTGCGATTGCAAAACTAGTGGCGTAGGATCTAATACAGTAAAATTATTATCTGTAAGGTAGTCGCTGTCTCAGAAGCTGATTCTGGTAGCAGATGACACTAATTTATCACCTATTACCAAGTATCCTTGGTAGAGGTAGTTTGTTGGCTAACAAAGGTAGTATAATTGCCGAAATAAATATTCTAATACTCAGATATTTTTCAGCAAATGGATAGCTCGACTGCCTACATCCACAGTGGTATAGTGGCATTAACAAGGCTTATAACATATATCGTGGCTACAGCTGCGATAAATTTTGTCGGATCTAAGAAACTGCTTCGTACGTATTTCATTGCTCTTCCATTCCATATAGCATAATTTATTATATTACGACTTAGAACTTTTTTCAAGTCTAACGTTGTGGATTTAGGGATGTCAGCAAAGATGTCACTGTACTTGTAAAGGACCCTGTGACTAGTGATATAGTTCATTGATATTATTTACGTCCAGTGTCGACTAATCTGTACATGATTTTCAGTGGGTACATTATTTGGAACATCCTTGTTGAGTGGAGCAATGTATTTTACACAGACAGCAAATGCTGTCTTAGTCACATCTGCTCTTTCTTCTGCGCTCGGAAATGTGTCATCGCTGATGTTTGTCAGCATTACTGTGGAAATGTTCCCTACAAGTTTAAGGTAAGTCGTAACATTAACTACAGTCAAGTATCAGAATGAAAGAGTCTAAGTTGATGCAACGTACGTCACTGTTAACCTTTTCTTATAACGAAGCAACCGCGTAAGTAGAAACCTAAGTACGAGGGCATCGCGGCTGCTATTAGGAGCTGCCTAAAGGCACCAGAACTGGGAAGAGCCTACTCAGGTAGATTTTTCCACAATCTCCTAGGAACGTACCGTTCAGCTATGGATATACCAAGCTCTAAGCACTTAGGATGGGAGCCTGAAGTCAGGTGGATCTGTCTGTTGCTAACTACTGACATAGCGGTAGAAGAGAGCTTACTGGCAGAAATCCGCTTAACACATGCAGAGTGCTGTTATCAGCAAAATGATATATAACAGGAACAATGTCAGAGCCAAGGCCGATCCCTTGGGAGCACCTGCCTTGACATTGTTGGATGAAGAGGAGAATCCGTTACGACGCATATCCTGCAGCCACAGAGGAAGCTAGCGACCCATCTGCAAAGCTTCTCCGGGAGGGTGTAGGATGGAAGTTTGCATATGGCATAGCTGATCGAACGGTTCCGTGATGTCAAGAACGACATGAGCCTTATCATAAGACTGGATCAGAATGCTTCACGGTGAGGTCCGCGTATACGTACATAAATACGTTAGGCGTCAGCGGTGGCGTACGATCAGCCATGGTGCTCTGTTTCGTTTTCGTCTAAAGTGGAATATTTCAAACGATTTCTCGAATACGTTGTATGGTATTGTATGAATCTTCAGCAATATTGATTGAACAGAATGGTCAATTTCATGATGGCTTAACTTGTTCCAGAACAGTAGCAATATCTCTTCATCACACCTGTGCGCGTTTAGCGACGTTATTGGGCAACATGGTCTTTCCATACATACTGCAAGCTGGGTGCATCCCAACTTTTTCGTTCGTTGCGCTAGGACCATTGAGTAAGTACTGAAGGATCAGATGAGAAGTCCAAAAATTGAAAACCTAGTTTTCAAAACATAAGTAGTTTTTAAAAGCAAAAATATATTGATATAGTATTATTTAGCTACATGCTAACATGTTACTTCATTTTTAGTTGCTGGTATGCTTGCCATGTTCTACCCTGATATGGACAACAAACCGCTGACGTAAAGAACCAAGACATCTAGTGATATTCAGAACTTATAAGTAATACATGTTGGTCTAGAAGCTTGAAAAAAACTCATACTATTTGCTTTTTCGAGGAATTGATAACACAGGCTAACAAAATAAAAAAGTGTGGTGTGCTACTTGTTCCCATGTACTTTATCATGCTCAACACAAATCTGGAGTCACTAGACAATTAAAAGAGTAATTCAGACATGAAAATCTCAAATTTTGAAATTTTTGGTGAATGTCCATCTTTTCATAGGTCTCTGGAAGATGCAGATCCATCAAAAATACCAATTTTTTCATTCTGATGTCTAAAATACTTCGATATTTCTCCATCTTCCTCTAATTTTGAATCCAGGTTCGCTTTCAGTGGGCAAATTCATGAATTAAAGATATAGTGAGACCTCCAGCACACACGACTTTTTTCTGGACCTGTGGGTCGTTTCTGAGCTTTTTCTCTAAAACTTGTCCACCTCCCCCAATTCTGGCTTCAGATTCGTATTAAGTGTGAAAAAATACTCGGGAAAAGCATAGTCATATCCCAAACACACCCCACTTTTTTTAATTTTGTGGGCCAGTGATAATTCACAGGTCTCTCCCTGTAAAAGTAAAATACTTGAATCTGATAAATCTGTACCAAATAAACATTTTTTTAATCATTTTGTCTTTGATTTCTTAGTGTCAAGGAATTTCATCCACGTACTTGATTTTTATTCGCATCCAAAACCAATCTTTGAAGTTGGTGCGTACGAATGGGGCAAGCTGGTCAACCTGTCTTCAAAATATTAACTAGAATGTTACTCTACATATATATAATGTATACGTATGTTGATTGGACCTTAGCAATTACACCGCTTACAAAATTGGTACAGCTTTATGTACAGTGCTAACTGGTTTTCTTAACTGAATGAACTGTGAAACTATATGTTGAGCCGCTATATAGGTTCAGCCTCGAGCTATAGTTGGTTATAGGTTAAGCTAAATTAGTTAAATTAAGAATGGTATTATTGGAATCAGCTGTGTAGCTTGTTACCAGCTTAGATTACTTCAAGCTATGCTATACATATGGATGATAGTCATACTCACGTAACTGCCAGACAGACGCAAATGAGCAAGTGTAGGTGTTCTTACCTGCAAAAGATAAAGAAGTACGGTTGTATTGGATATGTTACTATGAAGGGTGCTATTCAAGATTTTAAAAATTTTACGTTCCAGCTGATAGCTCTTCTTCACCCCCGCAGAGGTGATAGATGGCGCCTTGTACTGTATTATGTCGATATGTTTCCATACTATGTATTTCCAAAATCTGCGGATTATCTGCTAAATCACAGATTTGCGGTTTTGGGATTTGGGAGCATGGGATTTATCAGAACCGGTCAGCTGAGGTGATTCTTGAGTAATATTACAGTTATGTAAGAGCATTCTATATCAACGAAGTATACTTGAAATAAATCCTACATTGTTAAGGCAAGAATGGTGTTACATGAAAGGTATAGGGAGTGCAGTTTATTGATAACCTCATCATTCATACACCAGATTCCAAACGCATGGAGGCGACAAGGCTTTACCAACAGACTGATGGATTTTCATTATGTCGGCACATCCAAATATGGTTGTTTTCTGAGATTAAGAGATAATATGCAGTACACTGACTTAATTTTTTTTTGATTGGATATAGATGAGCAAATGTAGGCGTCTCATAGTAAACAAGATATAGGTACAAAAATTGAGTCATTAGATTGACACTGATCTTCCCACAGACAAACGGACTTTGCGGCATGTGTGGTATCTAATAGTAAGTCTACTATTGCAATCCCAGTGCTTTGTCGTAAGACCGAATGGTTTCATTCGTTCATAAAAAAATGAATTATGGACTTTGAATATGGGACCCATATATAGATAGTGTCAACTTCCTTAGTAATGTTATAGAATGAAAATAACTTAATTGCTAATTTTGTTTTTAAGTAAACAGCTCTAACTACCTACTTCTGTAGGTAGAGGCTATCGCGTGCTCCTGGGTGTAGGGTGTTGCTGGAGTCACATACATAAACATTATGCAAAAATATGTGTTATATATTGTCTAACATGCAACACTAACATCCCCTACAGTCTGCAACTCTCAATTTTAAAGACCTACAAAAAATTATCTAAAAATGATATTTGAGCGAATTTTTTTGTCCTTCGTCCCTATCTGTACCGCCGGTGAACTGACATTCAAGAACTACAATTCTTTTTTGTCCTCGACATAATGTGTGGAAATTAGTGAACAGACAGGCTGACAGACTAATAGACAGACGGAAATTAGTGACATGGTGTTTCGTGGTGTACATTTCATAAAGCACCCAAAAAACATAAAATCTCATTTTCTTGGCTTTTTTCAATTACTGTTCTTGCTCGTCAGTAGCGTAGTTGCACTTGTGAAGTCTAGTCTCATAACCACGTGTATGGCTTGACCAATCCACTGTAATAACTAACGAATTACACCCACTGTAAGATGTTTTTCCCTTAGTGCCAGATGAACAAATTCCATCGAAAAGATTTTCTCTGGATATAATCCCCCATCAAATCTGCTTCCGGCCATTCAATCCCGCGAAAATAACTGGATCCGATAATCCAGCACGTTCCAGCTCTCCTTTCAGACCGTCGGCGTTGGGATAAAAATGACTCCACCTGACCAAGACAAAAGGTTCGGTGCATTTTTTGCTATTAGAGCTGAAGCGAACCGAATTAGCCCTTCTCAACTGCTAACGAGGCTGCCCAGTGGTCGGAGCTTGAAAAGAAAAAACGATGCCTGGGTTGTTATTTATCATTACAGAGACACTGGGATTCGTTGGTTATCCCAGAAGGAAGGTAGGTACATGTGCAGAGCTAAAATGGAGCTAAAAGAAGGTATCAATAGTATTTACAAGCACATCGAATATCTAGATACTCAAAGCTGGAAAATGTCACAGAAATTTGGGTATTTCAAAAATCTAAATGAGCTTGGAAATCGATGAAATGGACTGAAGCGATAGCAGAAACCTTCGTAAAAAGTAATTAATGCATATGTGATCTCAGTTGGTTATAATAGTTTTCTTCAACACGAAAATCACGGATAAGTTTCAATGGTTACATATAAATGAGGCATTTTTTCAAAATCTTCCAAAATTCTGAAATCACGTCAATTTTGGAGGCTATAATAGCTTTTGCATCATAAGAGCTTTGAAAATTTGGAGAATCGGAGAATTAGAAAATTTTCTTCAAAACTCTCAAGGATATGAAAATCTTGAATGTTTGAGATCTTTGAATAAAATATTGCATATTTCAAAAGCATGGAAGATATTGAACACTAGACTAAACTTGCGACTCTGCTCGCGTGGAAGTAGTATAGGTTTTGCATTAGTATGAAAGAGATTGTGTTATCAAAAGCAGTGCAATGGCTACTTCAAAAATTAATTAGTTTCAATTTTACGCTTTTTTATATCCTCAACAAAACGTAAAGTGCTCACCTAACAGTTTATCTGATCTTAAAATGACCTAGAAGGCCATGATCATGTTTATTGGCAATGATACCTATACCTACTTGAACTTAAAATTGTTTGCAATTTACATTTCAGGGGATAAAAATAGATATCTACCATCAAAAATTAATTTAATATTCAAATGACCTTGACGCTAATAGTCAAGATCATGAACATACTTGAACATAAGGTTTCTTGATCTTATTTTCGTTGTCAACAACAGGAGGTTTCAATCAAGAAAACACTCTTGACTTCAAATGAGCCTGAAGGTCACAATCAACGTCGCATTCAAAGTCACATTTTTCGACATATTTTGTCATTTCAATACTTTCTGGACACCTTCAAATACCCTCTGTCAAAAATGGTAGTTCCTTTAGGATATTTAGGTGTATCCCATATCTTCAGACTTTTCCTCTTTCTCATCGCGTTACTATATATGTCTATCGTTATGTAAACTGCTATGCGCGTATTTTAGACAAATCCTAATAAGGTGTAAAATCAGATTCAATATACGTATGTTCCACAGATATGGCGCATAAAAGTGTAAAAGGGGGAGTAGTCCAGAAAGTATCTTCTCGTGTGCCCGGAAAAATATTGTGATTCCGAGTAAAGGGGTGGCCGTCAGCTGCTTCTCATAGAGCGCTTGTCTAATAAGTGAGAAACAGGCTTACAATGATAAAACCCCCTAAGATGCTATGAAACTTGCTTAATATCGGGATGAAATTAAGGAACTTTTTTCTTTATATTCTTTGCGGGGTCGGGGGTAGTGTATTTTGCAGTTATTCAAATGCTAGATTACTTTTATTTCGAAGAGTATCAACTACAGGACATTTAAAAAGTGCGTTACTCGTTCAGAATGAACAAGGAATGATTTTTCTGGAATCAGTAAGCCAATTTCTGTAGTTTGCTCAAAAATATTGTTTAAATAACTGTTGATGCAAGTTTGGGCATGAAACACAAAAATTCGTTAAGTCCCTTTTGAATAAGATTTTGTACAAAAACCGAATCAAAATAGTTTTTCGAGGAATCTGAAGATACTGCCTGGACTAAATATCTATTGGTTTTTTGGATCCTCCGTAGCGACGCGTTCCTATAATATGCTTTTCCTTTGGGATGTAGAACTGTTTTCTTTCCGAGAACGTTATCAAATGGATTATTTCCGAACAAAATCGAGGAAATATTTGATCTTTCGCTCAACGCGAGATATTGACTGCGTCGTCAGCTTGTTCTCCTGTGTTCACTCGCACTCACTTTTTCAGCAAATATCTGTGTCGGTGGAGTGTGGGTACATAAGTAAATATAGCTCTACCTTCAGCTTGGGTGAATAAATCATGTTTGAACTCCCTCGTCTCATAATGTAAATGCCACTGGAAAATTGTTATACATTATGAAACGTTCAGTGTTCTCGTTTGTTCTTTAAGTACAATACCGTTAATCAGATGTTAGGTAGTGAAGCTTGGGAGCCACGACAAACGTGTAACTCATTTATGTCGTTCTGTCTGTTGGTCTATCCGCTAATCTTTGGACAGCACATACCTTGAAAAGTACTGCGTGGATTTGGATGAAATGTTCACACAAGGCTACTACTGTGCCAAGGACGGAAAAGCTTTGTAAATTTGAAAATCGAGTCAGCGACGGCGTCTTTTCACGTTTCAGATGTTCCTGCTCATTTTTGTAGAGGTTGAAAGTTGAGCGTTGGGGGGAGTAAGGAGTGGGGCAAGTTACATCTCATTTTGTTAGCGTCTGTATTTCTACGCTTCCAGCCCCAGCAATTTTGCCCATCTGTCAGTGAATATTTTACAAATCAAAGATTTCCCGGTATATCTGCACTTATAACTTATAAATCTTTATAGACGGAACACGCGGTCGGTCGGCACGACATGGTGCAACGGCGACTTTCGTACGCAGAACATTGTATTGTGTCTGACAGCAACACCAACAGGGATGTTATAGTATCGTGGCTGGTGCTTATGACGTGTTTGACTAGTGTAGTGCACTAGCGTCGTCAGTTGGTCGATAGAGCAGGAAAGAAACCAGCATTGGCGCTATCAAATGGATGAGGGCTATGGACTATGTACTAATTATATATGAGCCTGCTTGGCTGACTTGAACGATTTACTGTTTTTGTTTTACATGTTTGTAGCTAGCTCAAAGGGACT